CTTTATAATGGCTCATTGAAACATTTATATGATGGCTGCTTCAGAACACTTGTTAGGTAATTCCAACATCTGAGTCATGTCAGTGTTGGTGTCTGTTGATTGTTTTTTCTCATTCTAGTTGAGATTTTTCAGGTTATGATTGGTGATTTTAGGTAGTATCCTGGACATTTGGGGCAATGTATCATGAGACTCTGGATTATACTGAATCTTCTCTGTAGCAGGGAGTCACTCTGGTGTAGTATCCAGGTCCTGGCCTGCCTTTGTGGGTTGTGGTTCTAATAACAATCTGGTTTCCAGAACCTTTGCATTACTCTTTTGGTCTACTTCGTGTGTGTGTGTGTGTGTGTGTGTGTGTGTGTGTGTGTGTGTTTTATCCAGAGACCTTACTGAAAATTTTGCACGTATTCCACACTGTAATTGAGTTTTAAACCTTTGCTCTTTTAATTTTGGTCAGTTTCACTTGTGGTTCCTTATTTGGATTTTACTTCCAAGGTTTAACTGTCCCTTTTTCTACCTACCTCCTCTCCCAAATCCTCCTGTTTATTTCTGTTTGGCAGATGCCACCTGCTACCGCTGGGTGGTGGTGGGAGTGGAAATCTAGGCTTCCCTCTCAGCTTCTGCTGTCACCACTCCCATGGGGCAGTCTGAGCATTGCCTGTTACCGCTAGGCTGAGGTTCAGACTGCGCACTCAACTTCTGCTGATACCACCCCTGGGAGAGACTGTGTGTTGCAGCGTGCTGTTGGCTGGCAGAGAGTAGAAGAGCAGGCTTCCCACTTGCTGCCAGCAGTACCAGGAGGCACATGGAACCCCAGGCCCCTGCTTGGTTTCCATGGCGCTGCTGGAGACGGGCTCAGTTTTTTTCCACTGGGTTTGGCAGGATTGGAGTCAGCATTGTTAGTAAGGTTTCTGTCCTGCATAGAGACTCTTTTCCTGGTCATTTGCTTGAGAAAGCAGGCTCTTTTGGTCTCTTTCCATCGGGCCTGTTGGTGTTTCTGGGTTGTAGGATTCTCCAGTACCAAGTCTATGGTATGTGTGAGGTAAAAAGAAAACTTGATTGAGAGTCTAGAAATAAACCCCTACATGTATGGTCAACAGATTTTCAACCAAGTTACCGGGAGCATTCAGTGGGGAAAGAATAGTTTCTTCAACCAGTGGTGCTTGGACAACTGGATATGCACATGCCAAAGAATGAAATTGCATTCCTACCTAGGTTGTATACCTACCATATACAAAGATAAACCCAAACAGGCTGAAGGAACTACATGTAACATTTAAAAGTATAAAACTTTTTGAAGAAAATATATGGTTAATTCTTTATAACCTTGGATTTAGCAATGAATTCTTAGATGTGACACTGAAAGCACAAGCATCAAAAGAAAAACATGAACAAGTTGGGCTTCAGAAAAATTTAAAACTTCTGTGTATACAAGTAGTGATCAAGAAAGTGAAAAAACACCTATGAAAAGGGACAAAATATTTGCAAATCATATATCTGTTAAGGGTCTAGCATCTAGAATATAAAAAGAACTCAACACACAACAACGGAGAGATTATTAACCCACTTTAAAAAATGGGCAAAAGACTTTATTAGACATTTCTCCAAAGATATACAAATGGCCAACAAGCACATGAAAAAAATGCTCAGCATCATTAGTTATTATAGAAATGCAAATCAAAACCACAGTGAAGTACCACTTCATACCCAGTGGGATGGCTTTAATCAAAAGAATAGAAAATAACAAATGTTGGCAAGGATGTGGAGCAATTGGAACCCTCATGCATTGCCGGTGGGAACATCAAATGGTACAGCTGCTATGGAAAAGTGTTTGGTGGTTCCTCAAAAAGTTAAACAGAATTTGCATGTGATCCATCGATTCCACTTCTGTGTATATACCCAGAAGAACTGAGAGCAGATACTCAAACAGGTAACTTGTACGCCTTTACCAAAAGGTGGAAGTATCTCGAGTGGCCCCAGCTGCAGTGGCTTGAAGCAGGATTTTGGTTCTCCAGCCGGAGATTGAAGTCAGGCCGTGGCAGTGAGAGCACTGAATCCTAGCCACTAGGCCAGTGGCCAGTGACAAGACCCTGGCCTGTCGGCTTTGTAGAAGTGAATTTCCACAAAGAGACAGAAAGTAATGAAACAAGTAAAGTGTTTATTAGAAGGAAAAAGAGTTCATGTGGATAGACACACAGATGGGCTTAGAGAAAGAGCTGTGCCCTTGTGGTAGTTTGAATCACTTTTATGGGGCATTTCTTCTGGGTTTCCTCTGGCCAGTCATCTTGCTTTGCCTGGCTCTTGAGTCCGTATTTGGTTTATCTCAGGGTCCTCCCCGGTGTGTGCATGCATCTCTTAGCCAAGGTGGATTCTAGCAAAGAGGCCTATGGGTAGGTTGACATCACCTACTATGGGTGGCGTCCCCTCCCTTTTTTGACTCCTGAGGAGCCGTTCTGCGCGTGTGTAGTCAGGAGGGTCTCTTTGACCTCGAGAATAAGGAATGGGGTATCTTTATCTCTTATCTGGTCAGGACTCAGCTCTTCTCTGCTCCCGCTATTATCTTTGTCTTGGAGTATCTGTCCACAGGGGACAGATTCCAGCTGCGCAGCCTGGGGCGCATCTATCTCCTGCCTCAGAAACAACAGTACCCAAAAGGTGGAAGCAACCCAAATGTCCATCAACTGATAAACAAGTTGTGATATATTCATATAATGGAATATTATTTAACCATATAAAGGGATTAGATGTGGATACATGCTACAACATGGAACCTTGAAAACAATGCTGAGTGAAAGGAGCCAGACAGAAAAGGTCACATGTTCAATTCCATTTATATGAAATATTCACAATAAGTAAATCCATAGAGACAGAAAGCAGATGCGTGGTTGCCAGGGTCTGGGGCAGGAGATACTGTTCAGTGGATATGGTACAGTATTCTTTTGGTGTGATGAAAATGTTTTGGGACTAGGTAGAAATGATGGTTGCACAGTATTGTGAATGCACTAAATGCAGAAGGATTGCGCACTTTTAATGGTTAATTTTACATTATGTGAATTTTACCTCAATAAAAAAGAAATGGAAAGAAAACCCAAGGAGTTCCCCAGCCAGGCTGCTACTTTTATTATTTGGTACGCGGGCCTCTCACTGTTGTGGCCTCTCCCGTTGAGGGACGCGCAGGCTCAGCGGCCATGGCTCACCGGCCCAGCCGCTCCGCGGCATGTAGGATCCTCCCGGACCGGGGCACGAATCCGTGTCCCCTGCATCGGCAGGTGGACTCCCAACCACTACGCCACCAGGGAAGCCCCAGGCTGCTACTTTTATCTTTCAGAGTTTAAAAACAATTTTTCTGCATTTTGTTGTTGTTCGTTGGTTTCACTCAGCTGGAAGTATAGGGAGAAATGCATCTACTCCATCTTGTCTCTAGAAGAGTACCTTAGGCTCACCTTAGCAGCTTTTTAAAAAGACTAATGCTCCTTCTCCACCCTGGGCCAATTTAATGAGAATGGGAGACGGGTGGGGGAGGTGAGTTGCATCAGTACAAAAAATGTTCACAGGTTATTCAAATGGGGACCACCATTGTAAAGCATTGTTTGAGGCACATACTTCCTGCCATTGATGAGTTTTGGAAATAGCTATTTGACACACTGAGACGTGAAGGGAAGCTCTTTACAAGGAAGGTCGTTCTTTTGAACATTGTCATCTGCAGGTGTGAATTTTGAAATAGCTCTGACCATCTCACTAACAGCCTATGAATGTAGCTGACAGCAGGAATGTGGATTAGAGAGATGAAAGAAACCTGGTACTTGATTACACCGTTCATCTACTGAACTAGCCAACTCTGGAGTCTGTCGTCTCTCTCTGCTTTCTGCTGTATGAAAAAAATACTTACGTCCTTATCGTTTCAGCTCTGAGTTTTGATTCTAACTTGTAGCTGGAAGCTACCAAACTATCATAGCTATTGAGAGACGAAATTGGTGGAAAAATACACCACTGTTCGCTAATGTGTTTTCCTAGTATTCGTCTCATGTAAATAACACTGCACTGAATGTGTTGGGGTGTATAGCTGTTTCTCCCAAAGTTGGATTTTATTTTTCACTCAGGTTAGGATGACAGAAGTAGCCAATACTGTTACCGCTCTTGCTAATGTTTCCAAAGTGCTTTCCCAACAGATGATACCTGTCCACAATGTTAGCAGCGTTAGGTTTTTTTTTAAATTTAATTAATTAATTTTTTATACAGCAGATCCAGCATTAGGTATTTTTTATCTTACTAGATTTTACTTTTTGGATTGTTGTGTGTTCATGGTGTGTCATTATGCTTTCCCACTGTGATTTCTTTTATTGCTGAACATGTTAGCAGTTTCTCCATGTTTTCAGTGATCAGCTACATTTCTTTTTAGGAAAGTTCCAATCATGCCCTTTGTGCCACAGCTTGGTAGCTACGGGACTTAGGGAAGCCACAGCATGATGCCCACATGATAAAATTGGTGTGAGATTGAAAAGAGACCTTTTCCTAAAGTTCTCTGTATTCTTTGATAATTAGAATGTTATCAGTTTGCTGCACATAATTTTCACTGTTTTATTTCCCTTTTTGTGGCATTATCTATCTTATACACACAAATTTTAAATTGTACTTAGTCAAATATGTCACTTTCCAGCCATAATTTAAAGGTAAGAATAAGACAGTAAGACAAATGATGTGGATACATACATGAGTTAATGTGCTAACAATATAAAATTACAAAAATGCCACGAGAATAGCCTAAAAGCAGAAGACATTTTCAAAGGTTTCCCTTATATCTTCATCTTTATTATGTACCCCTTGAACCAGTTTGCCCAAAGTCAGACTTTTCTAAGTACGATGTAACATGTGGAGTCTTTATTGCTCAACCAAGTCGTTGGCATGGAACCAGTTGCCAACTTAATAAAAGAGGAGAGTCCAAGAGTTTCAAAATGTGAAAGGATGTAGCCTGTCAGTTTGATTTCCTGTTACTTTTCTTCCAGAAACATGATCAGGGGCAGGTTCTGTTGGAGATGGTCTTCAGGCACCTTGATTTGACTGAGCGTGACTATTTTGGTTTACAGCTGGCTGACGATTGCACAGATAACCCAGTAAGTGTAAGCTGCTGTTTTTCATTGCCATTGCAATTTTTCTCTCTTCATAATAAGTCCTTTCTGATTTATAATGTTCACTGTTTGAGTTTTTTAAAATTTTTAATTTGAATGATTACAGGTAATTCTTTTGCCTTTGAACTTCAGTTTCTTGATATTTTAATCTGTTGGGTTATTAAGGTTTTTCTAATCATAAGTCAGTCTATAGATCGAGTGCCAGTTTCTTTCTCTACTTGTCTCAGACAACTGAGAAGCAAATCTTGGAGAGAAAACTGGGCATAAAGGTTAAAATGTTAACATTACAATATTGAAGTAAATACTTAATGTATCTTGAGTGTTACATAAATTAGCCTGCATTAAGATGAAATTAGTTTTTCATCTTAAAATTGTGAATTCTTTGTAAATTTATATGGTTATACAGTGAGGGTTTTTCACAAACGAATATGATATCCTTTTGCCTAGTACAGGAGAATGACTGTTTTGAAGGAAATGTTTTGTATAGTTGAGAAAAATTGGGAGGCTGAAGAAATGGTTCTCTGAATCAGTTCTTTAGAAATCAGTTTGTAAGGTCTTATATGGAAAATACGAGTAACGATTGGGAGGAAAGTAGGGCTTCTATCTCTTGCTCTCGTTTTTTCTCATGGTTACGTCCTAGGTCTCTGAAAGAATGGTTAGTGGAAAGTAAATGTGAAATGTTAAACATTACTTTTTCTTGGCATTACTTACTGATTTTGTATGAAAAACTGTGAAGATGAGGTGGATAAAATAAAGCAAGGTCCAGCTAGTCTCAGTGGAAATAAAGCCTTTTACACTGAACCGAAATAAAAACAAACTTTCCTCGTACTTCATCAGATGACTTGAGCTGCTCCAAGGCCTAGAGAAATAGTGTTATTTCTTAATAAATGAACGCGAAAATATTGATAGAAGTGAGTAGAAATGTCAGTAATGCTACCTTTCACAGAAAGATAAATTGTTAGCCAGGCAAATACGTGAAAGGTGTCTGCTACTATGTGCAATATTGAGATTTAAAAAAATAGATAATTCTTAGATTATCTTGCTGACACTCATAGGTCAGACCGTTTAGATAGAAGCCTGTCTTTAGATGGCTTGGAGAAGTGACAGACAACAAAGAAGAAAGAGACCAGTTACTTATCACCATAGTCACTAAGAAAGTGTTCCAGAAGGACTAATAATTGAGACCACATATGTTACAAGAAGTAAAAATTCTGTCTCATAAATTTGTACACAAGAAGACATTTCTACTCTAAAACAATTACAGCAGGATAAATGTGGGGAAGCAGAGGTATCAGTATTTTGAGCTGCGTTGATCTCTTGGCTGTCTCCTACTTTTTCTTACTTTGTCTTACTTTTCCATCTTGAGCATCCCTTCTGAAATAAGGTATTATATTTCCAGGTCCCAAGGACCAATTGCTGATGATCCAGAATAATTCTTCCCCCCAGATTAGAATCATACAGTTTTAAAGACGCAAAAGAAGCCTTAGAGATTATTTTGTCTCACCACACTTATTTTTCATGAGAAATTATCCCAATCCAAGGAGATAAAGCCCAAGCTACTTTGCTGGTATTAATGAAACTAGACTTGGGTCTCCTAACTCCCCCTGCAGGTCTTTTCCGTACACAGCACTACAACTTCAGTATTTAAATATTCAGAAGAATCTGTGAAATGCCAAAAGGTGTCTAAGGAGGGGCCTTTAGAGCACAAATGTAATTATTGTCCCATTTCTGGTTGTCAGTGTGAAATATGTCAAGACTTTGAGGATAATTAATGGACTGAGGAAAAGAGATGCCTTTTTAAAAAAGAGAAGGAGTCAGGGTGTAATGTTTATTAAATATCTATTGCGGACTTGTTAGTAAACCAAATTCTCACAATAATCTTATGAAACTATCGTTAAAATTCTCTTAAAGATGAAAAACTGAGGCTTACAAAACTCGTTTAATCACACAGATAATTAAGTAGCTGCAAAAGGATTTGAAGTCATATTTATCTGACTCCAAAGCCTTTGTTTTCCCTTCCCAAGAGAGAATGATGCAGATGCACAGGACTTATAAAAATGAGCATATGGAGGAGAGGAGGTACTCATGCCATAAAATTACCAGCAGTGACCGAAAGGGACTTGGTAATATCCCCGAAGAATTAACCCCTGTCAATTCTTACTAGTTAAGAGTTTCTTCATCTTAAAGCTCATATATGTTATATATACATGTGTATATATATAGTGTGTAAATGTATGTGTTGCATATATATTTTATATGTATAGATACTGAATATTCGCCTTTGAGGATCAGAATCAGTATTGTCTTAGGCGTGTAGATGCTGACATTAGTTTAATTGGATTTATAACTGATAAACTGAAAAAGCACCTGGCATTTGATTGTAGTCTTATATGTAACAAACACAGAATCATAGTTGACTATCCTTTGCTTTAGAATCTTCCTTGGCAATGAATTCCAGTGCAACAAACAAAATTACTTAAAAGAAAAGCTTTGACTTTTTGAAATTTCTTCTGCTTTCATTTAAAACCTATTTATCACAGCTTTCGCTCGTAGCATAATGTCTTGTATAATAGTTGTATTCAGTAAATGTGTATTGAGTGAGTGGGCAAAATAATGAGTAACATGGTTGTAATTCATTACCCATAATTTCTTTAATTTTATAAGCACTTCGAGGTGGCTGTACCTTAGTGGCTTTTATCAGCGTGATATTCATCAGGGCCTCGAGATTGTTACTCGTGTGCATCATGAGTAATATATTTACTTTCTTTTTTTTTTTTGGCCCCCAGAGTGAATTACAGTGCCCTTCAGTGGGACAGAGAGTAGATTATGATTACTGTTGACTTGTTCTTTCTGCAGTTTCATCCTTCTGAGAGTTTTGTTGTGGTTATGATATTTACTGGTTTACTACTGTTTCCGTATCCCCTAACCTTGTGACTTTCAAACTTGAACTTACATCAGAATTACCTGAAGGCTTCTTACAGTACAGATTTCTGGGCCCTATGCCTAGAGTTTCTGATTCAGAAAGTTAGGGGTGGAGCTCCGGTAATTCACATTTCAGACAAATTCCCCTGTAATGCCAATGCTGTTGGTAGTTCAAGGCACCACATTTTGAAAACCACTGCTCTAACCCAGTAGACTGTTAATTAGGTAAGAAATGATTCATAGAGAATAGCTTGGTCTACTCTTTGAAGATTAATTTCATATAACTCAGTGTTCTTGAATTATTTCACCTGGTTTGAAGAAATATAGAAGTCACATAGAGAATGACTTATTTCAACAAACCATGTTTTAGTACCACATGATTGCTAAAATGCTTGCTTTTATTTCTCTCATGTTCTCATATGGTATTTCTCTCATGTTCCTTTCATCTGTTTCTACTGTAATACCTTAATTCAGGCTCTTACTACCTACCTTTTGTATAAACCTCTTCGGTAGCCTGCCAAATGATAGATCTTTGTTTTTGTTCTCTTTAAACCCGGTTCCATTTTGGGAGGGAATGACAGAGGGATCTGGGGTGCAGAGAAGTATTTCAGAGAGAATCAGTAGCATATGCAGGGTTCCAGAGTGAAGAGAGAGGACTGTTGTATTTGCGGAACTGAAAAAGAATTTTTTAATACCTATGGCTGGAACATAGAGCAGGAAGAGAAGATGGGTCACAGATGAGATACGAGTAGTGCAATAGATCATCAAGTGCTTTTGATCTGTGTTAAGATTGTACCAGCCTAAGGATTTATTTACACAATCAACATGAAAATTGTATTTTAGACATATCACTCTGGGTACAGTATAGCCAGTGGCAAGTAAAGTGGCAAACTAGAGACAGGTGAGAGATTGTTGCACTAGTGAGTTACTGGGTTGGCTCTGGTGGTGGGTAAGTGCTCAAGAGAGTCAGGAGAGAAAGTCAGCAGGGCTCATGAGGGAAAGAGTGAACTCAGAGAGTCTGGTATCTCAGATTCTGTCTTTGGCAACTTGGTAGATAGAAGAACCATGCAAATGGTATTGTTGGTTTTCTTTTTCAGTTACCAATTTGTTTATTTCTAGCATATAGAAATACAGTTTATTTTTTTTATTGTGTAACCTTTCTAAACTCACTTATTAATTCTAGTCACTTTTTGTAAATTCTGTAGGATTTTCTACATAGAGAGTTTCTGATTCAGAAAGTTTGGGGTGGAGCTCCAGTAACATGGGGTGGAGCTCATGTAACATGTTTACATGACAATCTTTCTACATAGATTGTCATGTAAACATGCTTTTTTCTGCGTAAATCATGTCATATGTGAATAGGGAGTTTTACTTCTTCCCTCCCAGTCTTTATTCTTTTTTACCATTATTTTTTATTCTTTATTACATGAAAGCTGAGGCTACCAGGACAATGATGAATAGAGGTGACTGACGGCAGCACACTGCCTTACCTGTTCCCTGTCGTAGGAGGAAGGTACTCAGCGTCTCACCATTAAGTGTGCTTCTGGCCTCTAGAATTTTTCTTTTAAATCAGTGTAATTGAGGCATAATTTACATAGAATAAAATTCAGCATCCATTCATAATGAAAACTCTTAAACTTGGAAAAGGACCATTCGCACTGTGATAAAGGACATCTGCTGAACACAGGTGCATCAGGGAATTGTAAAACCACAATGAGATGTCACTGAACGTCCATTAGAATAGTTAAAAAATTAGAGTCTCACAATACCACTCTTTGGCAAGGATGTGGAGCAATTATTAAGGATTGCTGGTAGGACTTTAAAAGGATACAACCACTTTGGAAAGTAGAGTTTGGCAGTTTCTTGTAAAACTAAACATAGATTTAATATATACCTCCAAGGAACCCCTCTTTTGGATATTTATCCAAGAGAAATGAAAACATGTTACACAAAACCTTGTACACAAATGATCATAGCAGCTTTATTCATGATAGCTCATTCCTGAATTAACTTTAACATCTGTCAATAGTGAATGGATGAAAAATAATGGTTATATTTTTGCACGATATACTCTATTATTTCATTTATATTAAATTGTAGAGCAAGCAAAACTGGTATATAGTGACTGAAAGCAGATCAGTGATTGCCTGGGCTTGGGGGACTGGGTTCAGAGGGACACAGGGAACCTCTCAGGGTGATAGAAAGAGCTTGGCTATGGACAGGGCAGTGACGTCCTGTACGACTTGGACTGTGTTATTGAGAACGAGTGGATCTGGACCCACAGTCCGTACCCTGCTTCCCTTTGGGCGAACGGTTATCTCTATTCATTTCTTTACGTTTGCAACTGCTTCTCTTTCCTGGGGCTTTGGGGTCTTCCTGTGCATGTAGAAGTTGAACTGTCAGCCAGAGTTGAGGTGGCTTTTATATCCGGATTTTAGAGTTAAGCCCTTCTGCTGCCTCCCTCTCTTTCAGGATTTCCTCCTCAATTTTCTGGGTACCCTGCCACTCCTGCCTGAACTCTGTCCACTGACACCTCAAGTTTTAGTGAGGCTGTCCCCTGCCTGGTGCAGGATTTGAGATTGCTCTCAGGCAAAAAACTGCAACTATAGAAATCTCACCCGTTGCAGTTTTTGTTTTTCAAGAATAGACTTAGGTCCAATTTCTTCTGCCTGCTTTTTGTTGCTTTCCAGTGAGTGCCATGAGCAGACAAGAAGTGTTAAGGATTTCTTAAAAGATTCAGTGCTTGCAAGGATTGGTGGAAAAATCAAATAGAGGAAACCGAAAAAGAATGTAGCAAAGAAATACAGTAGAGGCGGAGAGTTTTCAGGGTCAGGCAGCACAGTTTATCAAAACGATTTGAAACAGCTACGCTGCTTAGCCCTCTTCTCTTTCTCTGGTTCAACGAGGGCAGCAGGTGCAGTTCCCTGTGGAATAAATATGTTTGTGTGTTTGGGATGAAGGTGCAGAGAACTCATTTCTTCTTAGTGATAAAATGAATCTGCCTTGAGAGTCCAAATGAATCATTTGGAAAACTTTTTACTACTAGTAGGACTTAAAGCTGAAGAAACAAATAAATATCAATATCTTTCAATATATCAATTAGGGAACATAATCCAACAAAATAGCAAATTAAATAAGTTTTCTTTTAAAAACCCAAATCCATTGAATATCTATGAATAAACTTTTGACATTAGGGGTGTCAAAATCTATAGGAAGAAAACTATAAAACTTTACAGGAAGAGATAATAGAAGACACGAGTAAATGGAGAAATAACACGTTCAGGATGAGGGAGACTCACTGCTGTGAAGATTTCAGTGGTAAAGTCAGTGCAGTTGCTAGTTAGAATCTGAACTGAATTTTGGGGTGGCATGAGTGAAGTTGACCCTGTGACCCTCAAGTTCATCTGGCTCCATCTTCATGGTTTAAGCCAAGAACCTACGTCCTATCTAATTGACGTCATTGAGGAAGTATTACATTTCCCAGTGCTTGTTAGTGTACTCCTAGCTGTGTCAGCCTCACACATCTACTTGTGTATGTAAATATGTCTGCATTTCTGGTCAGGAAGGCAGGCTTTGGGGCAATAACTGGTCCCAAATTTCGATTTGAGACAGACATTAAAATAAATGTAATTTATGTTTTTTTTTTCTAGAAAGTATGGAGGAAAAAATCACCAGATTGATAGATGGGTGAGACTATGGATAAATGGGTGGATACATAGGGGGAACAGATGTGTTAAGTAGGGGTGAAAACCATCTGATTATTGGCACAGAAACAGATTCCCCCGTCCCACTGAGTCATTCAGCAGGGTTAGTCCTTCACCAGGTATTTTTAGTAGATGTTATATGCCATGTTCTGTGCTGGATACTGACCCTTCAGCTATAAATCAGATTTTATTCCTTACCTTAAGGAGTTCAAAATCTAAGAAAGGAGATAGGCAATAAAAAAGTAAAACAAATATGTTGCAATTAAGAAAATGTTATGAAGGAATTTAACGTTCCTTACCCGAAGGAAAATAACTAAGTAGATAGGAGCTTTGTGACATACGATACTTTTGATAGATAAAGCAGTCCATGAAGGCCTTTCTGATGAGGTGGAATTTAAGCTGAGACTTAGATAACGAAAGACGTCAGCCATGGGAAAAGCCAGAGAGGAACATTCTGTGCATAAGGAAGCTTAGAATTGAAGGCCCCAAGATGGCATCTTGGGGAAACAGAAAGGAGGCCATTAAGCTGGAGCTCAGTAAACTGAGGTGGAGGAAGTGAAGAGAGAAGTAACACATGATATCACTTACATGTGGGTCTGCAAAAGGGTACAAAGGGACTTACCTACGAAACAAATACTCACAGATGCAGAAAACAAACTTATGGCTACCGGGGGGAGGGAGAGTAGATTGGGAGACTGGGATCGACATGTACACACTCGTACGTATAACATAGATAACTAATAAGGACCTGCTGCACAGGGAACTCTACTCAGTGCTCTGTGGTGGCCTACATGGGAAAAAAATCTAAGAAAGAGTGGATATATGTATATGTTAAAAAAAAATTGTGTTAGCCACAGATTTGGAACTGTCAAAACTGAACTGGACACCTATTTTGATTGGTATTTTAAGGCTTCCAAAACTTATCAGGAGTCTAAAATTGCCTCTTTGAAATATATATTTTAAAAATTAACTGAGGCAAATAAAACATTAAAGAAAGACCAATAGAATAAAAAAAGGAAGTAGGGAGAGACCATGTAAGCCACAGTAAGGCCTTTGGACCTTAACATTGAGAAATTATCAAGAGATGTTAAGCAAAGGAGTGAGCCTTTTAAAAGACTACTGTAGCAAAAAAAAAAAAAAAAAAAAAAAAAAGACTACTGTAGCTTCGGGGGGAGGGAGGATGATGGTAAGAGGCAGAGCCGTAGGTAAGAGGCTGTGGCCAGGGCTGTCCCAGAGACATGGGTGGTGGCAGAGTAGATGGTGAAGAATTATTCAATTCTAGGGACGGTTTGAAGGTAGAATTAGTTGGATTGGATATGTTGGATGTTATGGATAATGGAAAGGAAGGATTCATGGATGACTTTCAGCCACTTGTTACTGAAATCTGTTTGTGTGCTCTGCATGGAATCAAGTATGGGTGGTAGGAGGACAGTTTATAAGTAACGATATATAAGCTTATATTTGTGTAGTGCTTTGAAAATACTGCCACGTCTATCACCTCATTTTGGATTCTTTAATTTTTTTAACTGAACGTTGGCAGTTGAAATGTTTTCTGAATTTAGTTATAGTTCGCCTGAAATAGAGCTTAACTGGCATTCAAAAGTGTCGAGACTACTTGAAATTTTCATATACAAAAAGCAGTCCTTCCCCAAACTAAACATTGTCTCTTAAAAAATTAGTATGGGGTGTTATGGGGGGGTATTTTGTTTTTTGTTTTCTTTTTTAAGGGAGTTAAAATTTTTCATAAGAGTAGATTTTCATGATGTGTAGTTAAATTTTGTCTGAATGAGAGCATAAAGCCAAGCATATTTTTATGAAAGATAAAGAGAATTTTAAAAACTTGATAGACTATTATATAATATAGTTAAATTAACAGAATCACTTCATATTGCAGTGATTATTAAGCATTTTTTACTTTTGGAATAGAGGTTATTGCACACTATATAACTTAATGAGAAATTGAAATCAAAATCTTAAAGCACAAGTACATTCAATACTTTCTAGCATAATTTTGTTATATTTGATATGAGTCTGTAATTTAGTGATTCTTTTCCCCCTACCTAGGCCTTTTCAAAAAATGCAATTTTTAGCATTAATCTTCAAATGGAACAGACTTGCAAGAATTGATGTATTAGTTCCTCCAGGAAAAAAAGAAATCAGTCTTATTTATTTATTTTTCAGAGGTGGCTGGATCCAAACAAACCAATAAGGAAGCAGCTAAAGAGTGAGCAAACATATTTATTTGATGTTATACAAGTATACTTTATAAAGATGAAGGACTAATATAATCTAATTAATTAGAACTGCTTTTATTAATTCTAGGAGGATCTCCTTACAGTTTGAACTTTAGAGTCAAATTTTTTGTAAGTGACCCCAACAAGTTACAAGAAGAATATACAAGGTGGGTTTTTATGGAGCATGTTTTTACTTGAAAATATTGTCAAAACCATTATGAAATTTTGAAATTAATTAGGTAAAAATAGATTACCATGACATCATTCTGAGCTTCCCTGCCAGCACACAGAGTGGGTTCTAGACGTTTCAAGCTAAGTCTCCTCCTCTGTTGGATGGCTGGGAGGGCTTCAGGAGATTGAAACCCCAGGGCCACCCCGTCCAGCCACAAGCAGCTTCCCGAGCCATATCAATATTAACTTCTCTACTTGTGAAGAATGGTTCAGAAGCACTGCTGTAACTAACTGAAGTAATTAGATGATGCTGCAGTTGTATTCAAGGCATTCTGCATAGTGAGAATTGTCTGCTGTTTTTTTTCTTGTAAAAATATATTCTATATATACGTTATTTCCATGGAGGGGGACATAGGCTTTATAAACTGTACGCCGTTAAGTGTAGGAGTGCTGCACTTTACAGAGCACAGCAGGCATCTTTGTAAAGGGAGTTGGCAGAGCGCTCTAGCACGTTCAGGCCTGTAAATGCCCCCTCTACTGGCCGTTGTAGGTCTAGTATTAATTTACAGCTGATTTTGTGGTCCCTTCTACTTGACAAAGTACACACAAGAATGACCCAGATGAGCGTTTTGGTAGTGTGTAAATGTTAGGTGAACTGTTTAAGGTGGAAATAGTGGGGAGTGATCACAGTGTGGTAACTGTCATTGTTTAAAAAAACCTGAGTGATAACCTTGTGTATTGCTTGAAAGACAGAATTAGTAATTAGTTTTTTTAAAAAAAGACAGAATTAAAAATTAGCATATTATACCTTCCTTAAGATATAAGAATATAGGTAACACTATATTCAGAATTACTCTGAAAGATGGGCGCCAAATTAAAAACCCACACCTAAAGCCACCTGTAGGTAGGCTCCTAGATGGTAATGTATTGGTTACCCTTTAGAATACTGTGGTGAAGTGGAGAAACAAAGAACTTTTGAGAGTCCTTTTCTGTGTGTTTGTTGGGGGTCAGGCTGTCACCTTTCTTCTAACAGGAGAACTCAGGAATATAGATCTGGGATTAGGCAGTCCTAACATTTGACCCTAATAACGTCCAACCTAATTTATCTCGAAAAGCCAAGTTGTATCATGTAAATATTTAGTTTAATATTGTAGCTCTTAGTCAGGTTTTGTTGTTGTTGTTAAATAATTAAAATAACAAGACCTTTTATCTTAAATAATTCTCAGTGGAGTCAAACTTTCCCTAATTTTGGAGGAACTTCAAGGAAACTACTCTCAATTACTGAAAATTGTGAATTATAAAGGATTTTTAAATGCATTTTTTTTTTTTCCGGTACGCGGGCCTCTCACTGTTGTGGCCTCTCCCGTTGCGGGGCACAGGCTCTGGACGCACAGGCCCAGCGGCCATGGCTCGTGGGCCCAGCCGCTCCACGGCATGTGGGATCTTCCCGGACCGGGGCACGAACCCGTGTCGCCTGCATCGGCAGGTGGACTCTCAACCACTGCGCCACCAGGAAAGCCCAAAATGCATTTTTTACTAGTACTTGTAACTTGAAATCAAGTAACAAAGTATTCCATAATATATATTTATGTAATTAGATTTTTAAATTATAAGAAATATTTGTAAATAAAAGACCAATAACTTTTAATTGGATTTCTAATGTATTTAATGCTTATGAAAAGTTTGTTCACATAAGCAATTAAAATATTATCAATTGTAGCCATATTCATAATTTATTTCACTCAGAAAACTGTCTTTAAATTTCTTAATGAGCTTGAATCTGTTGGTTCTTTTATGGCCTGTGTTGAAAACATAACCAAGGAATAAATGTGTCTCACTGATAATTAAAGTCAAACTATGTTCATGAAGTAGAATAAAGTAAAATCACGTTTGGTAGAAATTGAGCAATTGTGCTGTCCGTCAGTCTAGAATATTATCTTTGTTCTGCCTAGAAATAATGCATTCTTTCAAAAATCCTTTATAATGGAATGTCCTGGAACCTTGTAACTGGCGTTGCTTGGTAAAATGGAGTGAAGGGCCGATCTTATTTTTATCACCATTGTGTACATCAAGGATTCTCTACCCTGATTACAAGTTAGAATCACTTACAGGGGAGCTTTAAAACGTGCTGATGCTTTGGCAACACCCCTGGAAACTGATTTAATAGGTCTCAGATGGGACCTGGGCATAGGCTTCCAGGTGATTCCACGGTTAAAAAAATACTCCTTTAAAACTTTAGTGCTTGGGTAGCCTTCTTGTTATGGTCATGATTAATAGTAGGATACCCTTAGCCACAGTTAGCGGCTAAATTTTAAGGACTAGTTTAAACCCCACAAAACAAGAAATTACTGCTACACCTCCTTGCCTTGAGATTCTATTTTGGATTAGTGGTAAAAAAAAGAAAGTAGTTACAGACCTTTCGTCAGGTTAAATGTCATTTGTATTAACAGGTGCTGGCGTAATTAGAATTGGCATTTTCTTAGGAGTCATCAGAATACAAATGACATTTCTTTCATATCTTTTTAGTGCTTAGGTGTACTCAGTACGTAATAGGTGTTTAGTGCATGGTATGTTATTGTATTTTTTTTTTTACAGCTTAAACATATTTCTGCATTTAGCTCAATCATTATTAATCTACCTTAAAGGTCTTAATTGTCTTTAAAAATTGGGCTTTTATCACCATATATAGGGCCCCTGGGATACATCTACCAGGCAAGTGATGTTACTTCCTTTTTACAAATAGAGAAACTAAGGCTCCGCCCAATTTTAAGTAATTTGCCAAAGATCACAGGCTGGTTTAGCTTAGGACTTTTAATTCCAGTTTCTGCTCTATCAGTCCTTACTGCTTAGTGTGTCAATCAAATTCAGGAAACATAGGTGTTATTTGTGTAGGATTTACAATATTATGTCAAGGATATACACATTTCAATCCTAACTGTAAAACTTTCCCACCAGGGACTTCCCTGGTGGTCCAGTGGGTAAGACTCCAAGCTCCCAATGCAGGGGACCTGGGTTCGATCCCTGGGCAGGGACTAGATCCCACATGCCACAACTAAGAGTCCACATGCCCCAACTAAAGATTCTGCATGCCGCATTGAAGATCCCAGGTTTCACAACAGAGACTCGGCGCAGCCTAAATAAATAAATATTTTTTAAAAAAAAGGACTTTCCCACCAGAAACCTTTAACTTTTAATTATGAAGCCAAGTAGGCCAGATAGAAATATGTTGTCTTGGATTGAGTACATAGATAATAGTGTAATACTATGTATTAAGCCTAACAGCGTTTATATACTTCATTCATTAATATATGAAGCCAGGGTATTTGTATCAGCTTTTTTTATCTGATTCTCTGAAAACCTTAATTACATTCTTTGGTAATTTGAATATTGTCATGGAACTCTTTAATGACTTTAATCAGCTAAACAACTAAAATTTTAAATAATTTTTGGCTCTTGGAGTATGTGAACTTTTTTTAGTTGGGTGAAATGAAGGTCTTAAGATTCTCTGTTTAAACATTAAAAGACACAAAATTTTATCTTCTGCCAACATGATACAGCACAGGGGACTTTACCCAGGCATTGATAAATCTATGAAGGGATGACTACCCACTAGCAAGGACAGAAGGGGAGTGCCATCTTGTAAGCAACTTCAGCAGTCTTGTTACAGGATACTTACATTTTTGTTGGTTTTAAAGGAAATTGGGTACTTCGCAATTTTAATAGTAGAGCAATAGTAGGGAAAGGAACTTACCTTTTTTTTCTTTTTTTTTTTTTTTTTTTTTTGATCAAAGAGAGCTTTCTTAACCCAAATGAAGATGGAAAGTGCTTTTCTACCATTAGCAGCTTCCTGCTGCCTGATGATACGGTGATCAACACATAGGCCTGTCCTTGCAGCTGGCTTCCTGGCTCAGCTGAAAGAGTGATTTTCTTTAGTTGGTCCCTAGTGTTGCTACTGTCAGCTCTTCTATGTCTCTGACTTAAGTTTTCTGTGCTTCCCAGTTCTACTTTCTGCATACACCAATCTTTAGAGTATTTGTTTTTTTGTTTTTTTGGGGGGGAGGGCTCTGCATTGGGTCTTCATTGCTGCGTGCGGGCTTTCTCTAGTTGCGGTGAGCAAGGGCTACTCTTCGTTGTGGTGTGCGGGCTTCTCGTTATGGTGGCTTCTCTTGTTGCGGAGCGTGGGCTCTAGGCACGTGGGCTTCAGTAGTTGTGGCACGCAGGCTCAGTAGTTGTGGCACACAGGCTTAGTTGCTCCGCGGCATGTGGTATCTTCCCGGACCAGGGTTCGAACCCGTGTCCCCTGCATTGGCAGGCGGATTCTTAACCATTGCACCACCAGGGAAATCCCACTTTAGAGTATTTCTCCCTAATCTCCCTCAGCCATGTAATTCTTAAATTCGTGAAAGTTTTATAATAGAAGCTAGGGAAACAAAATATAAGTATCAAATTTCATTTATCAAAGAATTCTAAATGTTTGGATTCATGTATTTATGAAAGTTTATTTTAAAATATCTTTACGTGGGCTAGTATGCATATTATAAAAGCAAATACTTAAATATTTCAGTTTTATTTGTTAATGTAAATATACAGTTTTTAAAACTCTAAATGTTATAATTCCAGTAAACGCTATCTTTTTTTTTTTTTAAGGTACCAGTATTTCTTGCAAATCAAACAAGACATACTTACTGGAAGGTGAGCTGTTTTAAGTTTTTAGTAATGGGCTTTAAAAATACTTCCAATTCTGTATTAAGTAGTTCATGATCATTGCAGACAGATTATCTACTGAAAGATGGCTACATGTAGCATGAATTCCTTTCATCAGATAAGTTCATTACTTAATAGTTAAAATGTAAGTCACACAGAAACTTCAAGTGTGAATAGTATAATATAAATTATATTGCTTTTAAAATTATTGTGTTTAACCTTGAGTTATTTTCTGTTTCATTAGATTGCCCTGTCCTTATAACACTGCTGCTCTTTTGGCTTCATTTGCTGTTCAGTGTAAGTATCAGTCCACCTTTGGGCCAAATAGCATGTGATTGCATGGTCTCTGTTGGTAGTACGGCCTTTAATGTATGAGTTATTTAAACATATGTTACTATGCAGAAAAAAGTGACTACACAGAAAGTGTAATGAAACATCCAATTAGTCAACACTTACTTTGATTCCTGAAAATAATTTTTCTGAAGTTGTTTAAGACCTAGGAGAACGTTAAATGCATTGTTATAATTTGCTTAAATGGTAACAGTAGAAACAAATATTTTACTTCCAGAAATATAAAGGAATTCTTGACATTGCTGATTTGGCTATAAAACTTGAAAAATGTGTTTATTGAAGTGTGAATATTTTCTTTCCATTTATTAGCTGAACTTGGAGACTACAATCAATCAGAAAACTTGCCAGGCTACCTCTCAGATTATTCTTTCATTCCTAATCAACCTCAAGATTTTGAAAAAGAAATTGCAAAACTACATCAGCAACATACGTAAGGATTTACTTACTTTTCTGCTTACTTGATAAACTTCTTAATGGCATCTTTTCTAGAGAAATGTTTTAAATTATTTCTAATGTGATTACTTAATATAGAATAGTTACTATTATATAAAATAGTATGATTACTGTAAAGAAATGTAGGTAATCTATACTAAAAAAAATCATAGACTATATGAGGCTTGTTTTCATGTCTGTTAAGAAACACAAAGCTGTATGTAAACAGACATGTATTGGCTATTATACAACGTCGCCAGTTCTTTAAGAAGGAATTTTAGAATATTAATAATATGTTCACAATATACAGTTCAATCTACTTAGCAATTCTTTCTTAGTTTTTAGCTGTGTGAAAGGAATCTATTCTGTTTGGTAATGAGCCAAGAGAAGAAAAGGAACTTTATGTAGTACTAAATTAATAAAAAAAAAATTCTTTTAAAATAGTAGCATTTTTTCATTTATAACAGTATTCAACTTTGATATTTTATGAGTCTGATTTTCTGTGACATGAGTTTTCAAGAAGAGGTTTATCGCTTGGAATAGAAAATCATATTGTTTCTTGGTTCAGAGTTCAGTTTTGCTTTACCATACAATTCAAAATACTCATGGAGGAACTAAGGCAGTGTTACATATTGGCTGAGAATCTGAGCTAGACTCTAAGAATCTGAGCCAGACTCATTTGGCCTCGTTTGAAATTCTGATGAGGCTACTTTACTTACAATCTTGTAACCTCAGCCGAATCACTCTATGTCTGTTCCTGTTTCCTTACATGTAAATTGGGGATGATAAAACTATCTACCTCTGGTGTTATTGTAAGGATTAAGTGAGTTTATATATACAAAGTACTCAGAACAGTGCTTGGCACATAGTAAGCACTGAAGAAATATTAGCTCTTATTAATAAGGAGACTCACTTTCATTCGGTAATGGCCCATGTGTCTACAACATGTTGGCAAACTATGGCCTGTTGCCTCCTTTTGCGTGGTCTACGAGCTAATAAAAATGGTTTGAAATAGTTGAAGAAAATCAAAAGAAGACGAACATTTTGTGGCACATGAAATTTTGAGAAATTCTACTTTCAGTGTCCTTACGTGAACAGTCATTGGAACACAGATTCCCTCATTGGCCTACACATTGTCTGTGACTGTGTTCACGTAACAGCAGAGCTGAATTGTTGCAGCAGAGGCCATATGGCCTGAAAGCCTGAAGTGCTTACCAGCCAGCTATTTCCAGTAAAGGTTTGTGGACCCTAATCTAAAACAAGATTAATGAGTGAGAATTTTATCAGACCGGCTTCATGTGGTATGGGGGCTGTTGTGGTCTAAAAGCAAATGCCATTTATTATGAAAGTTCTACACATTGCATATCTGAACCAAGGGTTTGAAGATAAACCAGATTTTTTAAAAAAATTTACCAATAATGACAAGTCTGTTTCTGTCAGGAAAAAGTTTGTACATTTCACAAGGTATTTATTATATATTTCTATTTGCTTTAAAGAAATGGTTCTGCAAATTTTTAAAGAAAGAAAAAATAGAATCATCCAGTTTATAATGCAGGAGGGTGGGGAAGAAAGTAGAGTATTTATTTAACTTAATTGAATTTTATAGAAAACTGAAGTATATCTCTTTTATGAGGAATCCCATTTTTATGATCATACATTGGCAGGCTGCTTGCTCCCTGATATCATTCATGAATGAAGGGTGATATCTTTGCATTTTTAATTTGTTGCTTTTGCTCTGCTATAGCCTGATAATATCAGATAACCAAGGTTGTTAGAACTATATATAATATAGCCTTTTTAAAGGCTTTGCATTTACAGTAGTAGTCCTCAAACTTGTGTTCATAAGAATCACCTGGAATATTTCTTAAATATAAACAATTTGGACCCATTTGTTCTATATCAGTTTCTAAAGAACAGTACATCTGAAACTACCTGTGATGAAAGACCGGTTTTCCCCTCAGTCTCTCATGGAATGATGCTTCTGAAAAATATAATAAAAATGAATTACTAGAAAAATAAGATAGAGAAATAAACAAAGGCATAAAAAATTAACAAGTACTTTTTTGTTGTTACATGCAACAGACATAAAATTACTCTGCCAAAGTGCTACAAAAGGCTGTGACACTCTCAATTTCTGTTCTTGTTATGAGTCAACACCTGTCTGTGCACCACACCCTGAGAAGCCCTGCTCCAGAGTTCGCCCCAGAGGCTGCATGTGTCAGAAGCACCCTGTGTGATTACAATGCACATATGGAGTGTAGACCAAATTTTGAAAAATATTTGTTTTAAGTCTGAGAGTGGCTTTGCAAGTCTGAGAGTGGCTTTTTTTTAAGCTAAGTCTGAGAGTAGCTTAGAACTTTAAAAAGCTGGTGCATTCTTGTGTTTCTGGAAAGTAAGAAAATATTCTACAAAATAATAATTTGTGTTACTGAAAATGTACCTTCCAGAAAAGTTAGATGTTACTGCACAGAACTAAGAGGAGCGCCCTTGCACATGGCGTTTTGTAAAATAGTCAATCAGAATGCTGGAAAGTTTCAGACAAATCGCCTTTTTGTAATTTGGTCATATCTGTGATTGTTATAATTTTTAACCTAATGATGTTTTTACAGAGGCTTATCTCCTGCAGAAGCAGAATTTAATTACCTGAACACAGCACGTACCTTAGAACTCTATGGAGTTGAATTCCACTATGCAAGGGTAAGTGAAGAAAATGCATTTTGATATTGTTGAGTTAGGCACCATTATTCAGCAAAAAAAAATCTTTAATGCCCTGATAGGATTAGGCAACAAATGGAACAGTGAGTGCTGCCAGCATAGTCGCACTGAAAATTTCCTCTGAATATAAGTATTTTCACAGTTACAATCACTTAAGATTCAATACCTGACAAGAAGAGTGGTTGAAGTGGATTTTTCATGTTATTTTTCTACAAGGTAGCGTTTTATGTTATAAGGATAATTTTTGCTGACCATAAGAGACAGTACCTTTAGAATTTTTATTTTGCAAAATAAAAACTGTTACAGTGGGCTTCCCTGGTGGTGCAGTGGTTAAGAATCTGCCTGCCAATTCAGGGGACACGGGTTTGAGCCCTGGTCCAGGAAGATCCCACATGCCCTGGAGCAACTAACCCCGTGCGCCACAACTACTGAGCCTGCGCTGTAGAGCCCGCGAGCTACAACTACTGAAGCCTGTGCGCCGAGGGGCCGTGCTCCTAACAAGAGAAGCCACCGCAATGAGAAGCCTGCACACCGCAACGAAGAGTAGCCCCTGCTTGCCGCAACTAGAGAAAGCCTGCGCACAGCAAAGACCCAATGCAGCCAAAAATAAATAAATAAATAAATAAATTTAAAAAACAAATAAAAAAAACTGTTACAGGAAAAGTAATTTGAATTTTTAACTTTTATGAAATCATTCTCATAAAAGATGCTTTCACCTCACTGAGGCCTGTATTACTACACTCCTTTCATCATTTAGTAACATCATTATAAATTTTTATTTATAAAGCACAAAATCAGTTGTATTTACATATTTTGGTTGCCCCTCTACCATTCCTTTGTTAGGATGGAATTCTGTAATCACTGGCTTTTCCTGTACAACACCCTAACTTTTTTTTTCTTTTTTTTTTTGGAGGAGATAAAGCTTTTATTTAGTTTATTTTTTGATTTAATTTATTTATTTTTTATACAGTGGGTTCTTATTAGTTGTCTGTTTTATACATATTAGTGTATATATGTCAATCCCAGTCTCCTAGTTCATCCCATCACCATCCTCCCTGACTTCTTTTTCATTGTGTCAATTTGCTGCTTCCAAAAGGCTGTCATCCTCCTGCCATAAGTGTATTTGTGAGTGACTATCCTTCATTTGTGCGTCTCTTCACCTAGATTCCTTCTCATGATTGTTTCATCAAGAGATTATATTCCTTTAGAAGTACCTGAAGTACAGCTATTCTCTATACCTAATGAAAAGTGGAATTATAGGTAATCATCAGTTTAATTGGTGACAGGTTTTATATTTTCTTGGGACAAACTACTAAGCCTAATATGGATCCCAGCCTGCAAGGGAGTTAAGTTTTCCTTAGATAGTTATTTTTAATTTATTTGAACATATAGACATATGCAGACCCATTCCTTTTAAAGAGCCAAATGACTTGCTTTCCTCACGTGACTGGATCTGGTAATTCTGAGCATTTGTGACTTGGAAGTCTGTCTGGTTCCATTTAAAATGTTTAAGTCTCCCTTGAACTTCTTGTGTTCTTTAGAATGGGCCCTTCACCCTCCCTCCCTCTTTGCGGGCTATTACTTTTGAACGTGATTCTCCAAAGGTAAAGTAGTGGTCACTAGATTTTGTTTTTATTATAGTACAGTCTAAAACAAATGGAACTTTAAATATGTACACTAGACTATGGTTAACAGTAAAAAAGACCATTAAAATCAGTCATTTTAGTGCTAAACAGTTTTCTGAAGGTGGTTTAGACTGCTGTTATCATTGACTGCTGTCAATATAATACAAAGAATCTTAGACTTTTTTTTAACTTAAGTGACATGGCTGGATCTCATACATAATTAACCGTATCATTATTTATTGATTTGTTTAAGTTATGTTTTTTTATTGTTTAAATTAGTAGATTGTAAAACTCTTTCTCAGAAAGCCATAAATGTAGAGTGCCAAATTAAAGGAATTTAAATATTTTGTACAGACCAAAAAAAAAAAAAGAGAAAAAACCCCACAAAATAACCCAGCGAGGAAAAGGTGTTTCTGCTGTATGTGGATGTGGAGAACTTCAGAAAATGTGCAAGTGTTCAGCGAACATGAAGGGAAGTTCTGTAGCCTCAGGAACAAAAAGGACAAAAGGTAGAGGGGAGAGGACATGTAAAGAAAATACTGAAGTTTTAATTGAACATCACAAGCAAAAGTATGTTTGAAATAATATTTTATTTTGAAAAGCAAGGTAAGATCTTTTCTCTCTGCCTCCAGAATGTAGGCTGAAAAAATTAGAGTAGAACTAAGTTATTTATAGCAATCTGCAAGATGCAAATAAGTCTTAGAACCGTCATAGCGGTGCATCTGTTATGTGCCTTGCACAGTGTTGGCACTAAGGATGACTTAGTGAACAAAACGTCAATTATCCCTGCCCTCACGGAGCTCACAAGATAGTGAGGGGAAAGAATTAGAGCATGTATGAACAGCTAAGTATTTGAGAATATGAAGGGGCAAGTACAGAATGCCACGGGACCCTGCGGCAGGAACTTCTAATCCAGCCTGGCAGCAGAGGGTAGGGAAGCCTTCTTAGTAGTAATTTACTGAAGCCAGAAAAGTTAATAAGAACTAGCCAAGGGAGTAGTTTTCACCATAGAGCCATCAGGATGAAGGAAGACCGGGAATCAAGAGAGAACATGGCCTATTTGACAAAACAAAACATTTAGTATGCCTGCAAGATTATATGAATAAGGGAAAAGGAAACTATAGAAAAGAAAAGAATGAAGGACAGCTTCAGGATAAAAAGGAAAGAAGAAAAGATTTGAGGGGGCTTCCCTGGTGGCACAGTGGTTGAGAATCCGCCTGCCAATGCAGGGAACACGGGTTCGAGCCCTGGCCCGGGAAGATCCCACATGCCGCAGAGCAGCTAGGCTCATGTGCCACAGCTACTGAGCCTGTGCTTTGGAGCCCGTGAGCCACAACTACTGAGCCCGCGTGCCGCAACTACTGAAGCCCGCGCGCCTAGAGCCCGTGCTCCACAATGAGGGAAGCCACTGCAATGAGAGGCCCGCGCACCGCCACGAGGAGTGGCCCCCGCTCGCCGCAACTGGAGGGAGCCTGCGTGCAGCAACGAAGACCCAACACAGCCAAAAAAAAAAAAAGATTTGAGGGCAGGGAACGTGGGAATATTTGTTTCTTAAAATAACATCGTAAATTGATTTTTTTCTTGGTGTTCAGTTGTATGAGTTTTTAACACATGTGTAGTGTTCACGTAACCACAAACAGAAACAGAGCAGTTCCATCACCGCCACCCCCCACCCCACCCCAAAAAAATACACTGGCTCGTGCTGCCCAGCCTCCTACTGGTAAGTCCACCCTCATACTTACCCCCGGTTCCTGGCAACCCTGGTCTGTTGCCTGACTCCATAGTTTGTCTTTTCCAAAATGTCTTATAAATGGAATCCTGCAGTATGTAATCTTTTGAGACTGGCTTCTTTTACTTACAGTAATGCATTTGGGATTTATCCTAGGTACTGTGTAGTTCAGTAGTTCATGCCATTTATTGCTGAATTGTATTCAGTTATATGGATGTACCATGGTTTGTTTCTCCATTCACCCACGGAAGGACATCTGGGTCGTTTCCAGTATTTTTTGTTTTGTTTTGTTATTAATAGGCCTACTGCAAACATTCATTTATAGGTTTTTGTGTGAATTTAAGTTCTCATTTCTGTAGGGTAATAATCCCAAAGTGGGATTTCTGGGTCATATAACAAGTGTATACTTAGCTTTATATGAAATTATGGAATTGTTTTCTAGACTGACTGAACCACTTTGCATCCCCACCAGCATCTTTGCAAGTTCCAATTGTTTTAGATCCTTTTAGCATGTGGCACTGTTTTGTTTCTTTTTAAGCTTTTCTGATAGGTGTGTTTTATCTCATCATGGTTTTACTTTGCATTTCCCTAATGACTAATGATGTTGGGTATCATATCTTTTCTTTGATGAATGTCTGTTCAGGTGTTTTTCCCATTATTTAATTTGTTCTTTTCTTTTTTTACTCTTGTGTTTTGAGAACTCTTTATATATGCTAGATACACTTTTTTTGTTGGATATGTGATTTGCAGATATTTTCCCCACTCTTTCTTTTGCCCTTTTGTTCTCTTAACAATGTCTGTCACAGAGCAAAAGAAAGTGATAGATTCTCATACCCCTTATTCAATCACTGATGGAACAGACATTTTAAAAATCAGCATAATATAGATTTTAGCAACATAGCAAACTATAGAATACTGTATCCGACAAGTTTGGAGTACATATTATTTTTAAATATGCAGAATATAATTTCTGTTCATGGTACATTTAAGCTAAAAACAATAACAAAACGATGACTTTAAAAATCCTCCGAGTATTTGGAAATTAAGAAATATACTTCTAAACAAGCCATGGGTACAAATACTATCATTATTTCTACCCAACAGCCTCTGTGCACTGCTCTCAGACTCACCTAGAAAGAATAATAATTAGTTACCCCTAAGTTTGTGGTTAGGATCAGTTGATAAAATAACAGGTATCAAATTAATCTTGAAAATATAAAATAATTTGAGCATATTAAATTAATACCAAGGAACATTGTGGGAGCTAAATTTAAATATTTATAAAGAATTTCTGACCTCTAAAAATGGAAGAAGCACTATCTCAGGAGTAATTGTTGGCCTAAGTAACTTGTTAAATGAATGGCTTGAGGGCTCACTAAATTCCTATCATCTTTACTAGAAAATCAGTCAATATTTATTACACTGTGAGAGTGGAATAAAATAGCATAATAGAGCTATACGATATCTATACCGTAGATCTTCAAGTTTAATCTCTGTTTTATAAAGAAGTTAGCATGATATAAACTCTTTGTTTTCCTAAGAAACTGATTCCTGGTTATCTAGATGTAAATGTAATCACAGAAGGCTTGGCCTTAGGTTTTTGTTAGGTATAGGATGCTCTAAATTGA